CTCTTTCGTTCTCTCTCTCTTTCGTTCTCTCTCTCTTTCGTTCTCTCTCTCTTTCGTTCTCTCTCTCTCTCTCTTTCGTTCTCTCTCTCTTTCTCGCTCTCACTCTTTCTCTCTCCCTTTCTCTTTCTCTCTCTCGTTCTCTTTCTCACTGTGTTTCTCTTTCTCTCTCACTCTTTCTCTCTCCCTCTCTTTCTCTCCCTCTCCTTCTCTCTCTCTCTCTCTCTCTCTCTCTCTCTCTCTCTCTCTCTCTCTCTTCCTTATTCTAACGGCTAAGTGACTTCAATCGTGCCCTTAACCTTGGAAATTCGAGGACAGGTTTAAATATTCTAGAACACAAAATTGGGCATGAGCTGCGTACCGCTATCGCATTTCCGCATTGCCTGATTGAAACCTTGGCAACGTATGTGCGATGTTACGTGTGTGCGTGTATGACGTAAAACAAGGAAAATGTTTTTTCAGGAACACTAATCAATTGTGATGCAAATTTAGGGAGTACAATGCTGATCTCATCAGCAGTTGTTTTCCTTTCTGAGACATTATAAATCCTTATAGCATTGCTTTGAGAGAAGCAGTCCATCAGACAAATGTTTTGACATGTAAATGAAATATATAAGAGCAAATGTGAATGCATATTTTTGCTTTGCTAAACGCGAATTCCATTTAACATTTAAAATGTCTGCTATAAAAAATAAGTAATAACTAACAACTGACTAACTAACAATTGATTAACTAAGATGTACATTTCATCCTAAACGATGGTTATGATTCATTCAATATTAAGAAATGATATACGATAATTTCCCCTTCTTATATGCATCTTAAATCTGGAAATATTAAGAGAAAGTTGATAATGTGAAAGCTCTTGTGAAAATTGATTGTCAGATTTGCTTCTGAGACATTTCTGATTCCCCTTCGCTGTCTGGTCCGATAGTAGCTCATTGACGCAAGAAGCGGAAGGCGGGAGAAAGTATTGGAAACGTAGGAAGTAGGGCGCAGAAGGTTGTATGTACATTGCGCCGGTAAAAATGTTATTGCCGAGTTCTTGACGTCACTTCCGTTCTGGAATTACCTCGCTCACGTTCAGCAGATCTCGATGATTCAAAAGGTGGTACAGTGACTAGCGGAATATCTGATTCTTTTCAATCAACTGAATAATCGATTCCTTGTAGTGCGATGGAGATGGTTATATTTTAAGTCGTGGGGACAGGTAAAGATTTTTGTGATAGGCTAATTGGTGACTGGAATTTTGTCAATTATGTGGAATGACATAAAATTCTACAAAAAGTTGATTATTCTTCAGTTAATTTAGTTGGTTGGGGTATTCGGGTTGGAACGTGGAAGAAAATTACTATAAAAATTAAAGATAGGATTTGTGGGTCACGTTAATTCCCATAATTTTAAGAACTGGTTGTTTCAAATATTATATAGTTTCTCACGCTAAATCGTGGTTTAACCTTTTTTAACATTAGGTATAAAGATCGGTTTGACATGTATTTGACATTAGTTTAACAACAAGTTGGTACTCATTGATCTGCCAGCAAAATAGTCAATAATTCAGTGACGGTCATGTCTTCAAATCTACAGTTTTTTGTTATTTAACTACATTTATTATAAATAATCTTATTAAATAACTAATGAAATTAAAGTTTATTAAATAATTGAAGCGGACTTCGCATACTCGCAGATCACTTAATGAGTAATATTTTCATTATTAATATACGTTTTTAATTTTAAGATTATAATTAGAAAATAATACTAAATTGTAAATCTGTTTAGAGGAGATTGGAGAAAATAAGTTATCCCACTCCTGAAGAACTTTATATATCCGCCTCTGTCTGAATTATACTTACTTGACACAATGCTTTGCCGTCAGAACGAAAGAAGGATGAATTATTGTCGCTCCACAAATGCCATTAGGATGCTCGATCTTGGCCTGTGAAATAATAGAAAAGTCGTAAATTAAGCATGCTTGCGGTGATGATAATAGGTTTCGGGCATTTTTCAATTAACTTGAATTACAATTTATTTCTGGTTGAAACTTCAATACGCGATTTGTTTGCCAAGAGAAGAAAGAGCTGAGCTCTTCTGTCTCCACAGAAGAAACAAATCTCACCTTTACTTCTAAGAAAGGCTGATAAATTGACTAAATTTGCAATTGAATATATTATTGCTGAAGTAAAGAATACTTGTGAATTATTTTGTTATTTTCATCAGTAATTAAAATATGTCATTTAAATTTCAACAGAATATTAATAATACATTCTCTACGATTAAATAAATTACGTTTTTGTTGTATTGAATAACAAAACTGAATATACAAATTGGTAATTCAGAAACTCTAAAGATAAAATGATGTTTGTATCATTCAAAACTTCCTGGTTTCTGTCTGATAATTTCTATCTTTCAGCCATTTTCTGACGTCCTTCACAAATATCTTGTGTTTTGGATCGAACTCTTTGCCCTCTAACAGCCTAAATAATTAATAGTATGTATTAAAAAATAACTAATTTGAATATCAATAGAAACTGTTACGGTTGTTCATATTTAACACTTATTTATTTTGTTTCAGTACTCAATAGAGCAAGAAGTTTGGGTAGTAGTAAAACAGAAGAACAATATTGTACTAAATTTTAAAATGTGTGAGGAAATAGATTTAACAAAATTTATCACATTTATCTTAAAACCGCTGAACCACAATATTGTACGGTGCAGGAAACGATCCTTTAAGTGACAAGATGAATTCCATCGAAAGTTATCAAATAAGCACTAGACCCTCTTATTTAATATGTAATAAACCTTTATTGAAGATTTATAACATATTAAATCGTGCAGTCATAAGTGCAAAATCTTACTAATCCAATTCATATTTGTAATAAGACTGTCTTCTCCATTTGTACTCAAAACATCTGGCCTACAACAAATGCAATTTACATTCGTTTTCCTCATTACAATTACTTTACTATTCGAGTGCAAATATTCGCTAATTCAATGAAGTGTCTACTATTTATAATTTTTTTCTATCTGTATTAGTCATTGATTTATTTTATTCGTGTTTCGGAATACATTATAAATAAAATATCAAGTCTGTAAAGAAAAAACTTACCTGATAAGGAACCACAGTTACTTCCACTTTTTGTCCGCCAGCCACACGCTTCACCCTTACACCTGGAAAGAAAAATGTAAATGTATGTAAAGCTAGTGTTTCCTAAAAAGCAAATCATTTTAAAGTGCGTTTAAAGAGGACATTTCTATAAGACGGTGAGCTAAAGTTTTACTAGTGAACTATTACACATTATTTTATGAGCTTTTCTATATTGTATATCAAGGGCTTAGGGCAGAAACAAGATAGGCTAAACTAGTGACAGCAAGCTTTCCTCTAATGGTAAATTTTAATATCTCGATTTTGGTGAAAATATGGCTTATCTTGTTACTGTGTATGTATTATTCATTTCTCTCAAGAGTTTAGGGCAATAACTAAATGAGACAAATTACGTCCAAAATTGATATATAGATATTTACGAATAGCGAAATGCTTGTTGTAGATTATCTAATTACTGCTCTAATCCTTTCATATGGTTTGATACTTTCACAGGATTTCGCAAGTTGTGGGAACAATATTTTGTTCGTTTCAGAGTTTCGGACTTTTTTCTACTCATTAATATATTACCCAAATTAGAGGTGAATTGCCCATTTTTCTAGTCGTTTCGTCGACATGTAAATGCGCTTACTTTAAAATTTGAAATATTGTTTTTTGTTATTTTGTAAACAATAAGTTATAGCAGTAAGTCTAGAATATTCTCGTGTCAACAACGAGTGATTGGAACCTACTTGATCATAAACGGTCAAGTATTTGAGCGCTAGGTGCGTACAAACAAACATAAAAGATAAAACATCAAAACATATTAATTACCTTTCGTTTGCCTCTGTACATTCGGGTAAAAAAACAACAAAAAACATTTCAATACCACTATGGTCAGAACAGGGATGGTTATTGACGAAATCTTTCTTAACAGTTCGTCTTTTCAACCTACTGTTCCAATATGAGTAATTTGATGTTGATTGCATGCATGTGGTGATTGCATTGCATATACATTAAATATCTAAATGTTTTATGTATAATCGAAAAAATCATCAGAAAAACATTCAGTGAAGTAATAAATTTAAAAAAAACAAGGTATTTCAAGTTAGACCACATTATAATCAATAATTTTAAATCATATATTACCTTGACATTGACTGTAATTTATATTGCCTGGAATGCATGTTAAAATTACAAAAGATAACTATTGAAATTGGTCAGTTCCTTTTCATCTATCAAGTTATTATGATGAGAGCGTAGGCTTCCGCGGCCGGAGTCAGTATTTAATTGGCATTACGCCCTGAGGAAGGCAGAATGGAGGCCGAAACGTCGGCACCTTTGCCATGGACGCGGCGTCACCCAGACAGCCAATTAAATAAGTTATTTGCCCCCTTCAAAAGTAGCTCAGAAGATCATTGCATCAACTTAACATTGAATGAGTACCAGAAATTAGCAACTATTAATTTCAATTGATCCTCTGGTCAGAAAGATCCTAAACTACAGGCTGTCGCTAGGGAAAATAGTTTTTATAGGCTGTTTAGATACCGAACGGTCATACTCGAACACTCGTAGTTGCACTTCATGCCTCCATCATATTCATTGTGCTTTCTGTTATCCATTTTTGAACGCACAATGATCAGCTGCAATTTTGTACAAGAGGATATTTTAATTAATTCAAATCTACTTCTTATCGGGCACACTTCTTTTGTTCGTTTCTTGCCATGCGGGTTTTATAATTTGTGTTAACTTATCGTCTTGTTTAACCACATTCCGGACCGGAAAGTCGATAATGCCATGAAAATATCTGTGGGGGACTAACTGTTGTTTTCCAAAAGAAGCATTGGAAAGAATATGACTTGTGAGAAGAATTGGAAGAAAGAATAATTCTGATTTATTCTTTTGTGGATATTGGACCAGAGACCGCAATGCAACTTCTAGCTGTTTTCCAGAGAAGCGATACGTGTATATTATTAATATATTAACCTGTTCATTTGATAATTTAAATCAGTTTATGAGGAGTATAACTTGAAAATAAAATAGTACGATGGGTATAATTTAATAATATTTATAATATAATTTAAATTAATTTTTCATATATGTAGTGGTTGCTAATGAATAATCAAGGTATGAATAAGATTAACGAAAAATCTTCAGATTTACAAATTTTTATTTCGTCAAAATATTTTTAGCTTTTTATGATAGATGGCATATCCAGTAGAAAACAGGAGTGAGACGTTAGAATACGAATATAAATAAAATCTTGAAGGCACCAATAATCATTTTAAAGAGTCGTGGACGTATTCTTTGAAGTAATGATCTTTGTTGTTTGATGGTGTTTGTTCGGTATATTAACTTGAGAAATCGAGTTCATATAAATGCAAATGTTTCCTACTTTACATTAAAATTTTCTTTTCCTACAACGTACTTTACAACACATTATGAGGAATGTTGTATGATATTTACAAGAACAAATCAAATGCCTAGAGGACTCTACGAGATAGATGATTCAAAATTATTGAAACTATATATGTCATTGAAGTAAAGAGATATATTTTAATTGCCATTTAAATGCGGAAATAATAGTTATTAAAGAATATTGTTTGTTTAACTTGATGGAAGATTGTACGATTGAATAGCACATTCCCTTGAATGCGACTTAAATCGAAGTCCATGATGTCTCTTAACTGCATCTCCTTTGAAAACTATTTTCCATATATTGTATTACGCAATAATAAAACGGAATACCACTGAAATTACGAATGAAAAATATGGTGCAGAACAAGGGTTCTTAAATTGTCGCGACGCCGTAGGAGACGGGAGAAACTTTGTAGCCTTATTCAAGGGAATGTATGAGCCTATGCGAAACTTCTGGTGTGTGTGGGTGGGAAGAGTCATAAAAATTAGGGAGCTAATTATAAATGAATTATCTTAAAAGTAGACGCGCTAAGCTTAAACTACAGTACAAAATCAGTTATCTTTTGTATGTAGAATTAGCCTAGGGTATGTTGTAAAATTGTAACGTGGCTATCCACTTTAAAATATACCTCTACTTATGATTTACCTTTCCTGCCTACGTTATGTATTAATTTTATTTTGAATGTATCGTATACTACAAGTTCTTTTTAACGTACATTTTCACTGTTAAATTCATTAGACTCATAGTTTTTGGTCATAAAAGGGATCCACATAAAAAAATTGAAAATTGCTTGAACATCAAATGCTACGAATTAAATCATATGTAATTCGAACGTCAAAACGATAATTTCCCTCCCAAGTCATTTGGTCTGCCCGTAATTCCTGCCCTTCAGACAAAAAAAATACTCAATAGGGTAGACAACATTCATGTCACTGCCCTTTAAAATATTTCTGTGGCCGATCGAAATTCCCAACCAACGGCTTGGTGTTGTTGCCTTGTGACTAACCTACTATTGTAACTTGCTAGTCGGTGAAATCGAATGTGTTCTTTAGGAATCCTGATAGACATAGCCAGACTTAAAGAACCAGGGCTACCAACAAATTAAGGATCACCTTTTTCCTTATAGTAAAACAAGAGAGAAAGAAGTAAAAAATATTAATTCTTACAATAATTATATAAATAGTTTGTAATCATTGGTGTTATGAAATTATATTTTATAATTTCCACTTTTTTAAAATTACTATTTCAGTAATCAAAATATTTTCAGTCACAATTAAATAAATACAAAAAACAATACAACGAATCTGAACAACTAGTAAAAAAGTTAAAAATTCATTTTTCGTATTTAAAAACTAAAAAATTGTTTATATTTTACTGCATTTCTTGTTGTATTTTATTACTATTATATGCGAGCCCTCTCAGGTTAGTCCCCTTCGCAGTTACCTGGTTAGCCTAGGTGAAGTACACCATAGGGGATAGCTTAATAACATTGAGTAGCGTTGTAAATATTATCATGTTATGCCTATAACAAAAAAATTATGAACATAATTTTTATTTAAAGGATCACACAATAGGTTTTCTTCTCCTGATCTCTAAATTTTATAATAGCAATTAATTATAACAGAGCCATGAATTACATAAGACAGGTCCAAGCATAACACTTTGTAATATGTAATTGATTGAAAGACCAGAATAGAGAAGCATCCTACTAATAAAAAATAAGATCCATTAGCTCACTCATCAGAAATAATAACTATGATGTAGTTTCTATGCATAAACCGATTTTTGGTATTTATGTAAAAATCTAAACGTAAGTACATTTAACGAAGTATCGAGAAAGTAATGGAAAACCGAGTCTCGCTCAACTAACAAGAATTTGTTCCTTTTCATATTAATTGAAGAGAAAAGAAATATACCTATTTTTATGAATACGTTTCACTAAACTTTATGAATTCATATTCCCATTTAGAAAGAACTACCTTAATTTTTAAAGAGATCATTCCCATGATATACAAGAGCTGCTATTAATAATGAATGTGCATTTAAATGACTATGAGAAATGAGTCAAAGTTAACTTGTAATACACAGTAGGGCAAAAACTTTCTAAATAGTTTCTAAAATTAGTGTTCACAAACCCGTTGATATTGAATGTTCAACAGTTAAAAATAATTAATGTAATCTTATTCACAGTTTCCTGATTATGGATCAGACTGTAACACTAGGTATTATGAACAATTTCACAAGTTACCGCTCTTAATGAGATTAAGTATTAAATTTTGATTTTTAAGGGAAATTATCAAACAAATACACACATTACACTATCACAAAAGAAATGGCAATATTTAAACTGATTCTCTTATTAAATGAAGTTGCTAGTTCTGTTGTATGTACAAAAGCTCCCTGTTTAAACCACCCGTTATTCTTTAGCATAAAAAAGTGTAACCGTTCTGATGTATCCTTTACTTGATTTGGATTTTCGTTCTAATCTATTCAGTGAAAAAAATTGCGAGATAGGTTCTATTATTCAATACCTTTAAAAAAACGATTGCACAATATCTTCAAAGGCAGAGTAATATTATGTATAAACAAATCTCAATTTCTGCTTGATTGGCATACTTTTGTATACTAATAAAATAATTTTGAGAAGTAGTTTATAGTAAGAATTTGTAATTATTTCATATATAAGACATTCAACATGATAACACTTCATCGAAAACTTAATCAATTAACTTATTTAAAAATTGTTAAACAGATTTCCATACAAAGGCTGATTTTTTTCCGAAAATTGTTTTTAGTGATAACATCTCATATTCGTAAAGTTAAATGTTCGTCTTATACGGACACTTATATTTCTTAATAAATTTCCAAAGTACTGGGGGAGTCTGTGCAAAAACGTTTTTGTTTTTCGCGTAACAAAATAGAAAATTGGGTAATATTGTGAAACTATACGAATATATACGCAAGTCATAAGCTAATTATTAAAACTAAATAATGTAAAATTTAAAAAATGTTCGTCCTACCTTCCGATCCGAAGTCCGCATCCTGCGCAGGAAACGCAAAGCTTCCGGCAACCACCGCCAGGAGCAGTGCGATCGTCGCCGGTGGCGCCAGCTGCCGCACGTGCAGAGAAGTCATGGTGGAGTGCGGGGGAGTTGAGTAAGTGACTGAGGCGGCGGCGGCGGCGGCTGCAGCTCTTATAGCCTCCTCTATGGTCTTCTCCCCTCTCCTCTCCCGCTTTCTTCGTGTGTCACGGCCTGGACTCCGCGAGCCCCGCGTCGGCGCATTGGTCGGGCGACGTCTGCCGCCTTCCGATGAATTGACCGAGCCTTCGGAGAAACCGTTAGCACCGAGCCCTCGTTACGGGATGAGCTGGCTCAGGGCATTAAGTGATGTCGCTGTAGGGCCTCTCGTCGGGAGCGTCGAGTCCAGAGATGGCAGGACTTGCGACTCTTCCTAATAGGTCGTATTCTGACCCTGTCTAGAGGGGAATTCTAGCGGCCGACTGCTTTGCGAGGTACTTTTCCGTGGTTTCTCCGATCAATACAAAGCGAACACCCGAGACCGCCCGAGATCTTTCCTTCCTCTTCCTCGTTTACCTACACTTATTTTCATACGTTTTAACCCTTATTTACACACACTTTGCTGCACTACACTAACGTACATGACGGACCAATCGGGAGCAGAGAGCCTTTTCCGGTCGGTGGGGCGGTGGTGGTAGATACCTGGACGGAGAAAAAACAGCAAGCCGCCATGTACGTCGGCACCGGATCTCGTCATGAAACGAGAAAGGACATCGCTATATCCCATGATAAAACATGCCATACACTTACGAAACTAATGGCCATAGCCGTTGACATGCCCCGAAACAGGAAATAATCGATTATTCATCAAGTCAATGCCATATTCATTAGGTATTACACAAATTACAACAATATGAAACAAACCTACAACAAAAAGCAATCTAATGAATAAATGAATTTGAATACTTGGTTGCTTATGATCTAGTATTCACCAGCGTAGTATGTGTATTCATCTTCGTAAATTGTAAGTATAAGAGATATTAAGAAATATCAAGTTTGAAAATCACTACTTAAGCTGTCAACTCCCTATAAAACAGCGACATCAGTAACTAGAAAAATGTAAACTCTTGAATATTAAATAAATATTGAATTAAAAATATATTTTAAACTAGTACGCAAGTCAAAACTTGTATTATTTAAAGTTAGCGCCATATTAAATATTATGTATGAAATTTGTGGTTTAAACTTAGAACAAAATGTAAATATTCCTTTTTTTTGTCCGAACTGTGTTTTCCAGCACAATATTGTAAATTGTATTATTATTCATCAGGTCTATAATGCACCGCAATAATGTGCGCAATCCTTATAATCCCTCGCGAAATGTTCCCCATTCATGTTTTTAAATTCCTATTTCATGGATTTTCCTATTTCAACGTGATTTAAAAAAATTAATTCCGTTTTTAATCTCGAGAAATTCGTGTAAGAGTCACTGGCTTAACATAAAAAACGTCCCATTCCATATCGTGCATATGTATCCTATATGCATTTTACCAAATAGTATCGTGAAGGGTAAGAATAGTCACACGTGTAGTACTAGAAAGTTTATTGTATGAAGTCGTGGCGTGTCGACTGTAAATTGAATTGAATTAATGCCTTATTTTACGTGGCGAGACTCGGGCCATCCAGGCCCGCTCTTCCGTCTGATCATCCAAATTTCGCTACGCTCCTTTCACCAACTAGCGGAGAAAGAGGGTATTTCTTGGGCGAGAAACAGGCGATTTGAATTTAGCCCAGAGACGTCATTTAGGCTTGAGGATCTTTTCCATGCAAGTAAATCTATTAACATGGGACAGACAGCTTTACTTCCCTTCCGAAGGAAGGCGTACGAAGGATTTTTTCGCCCTTAAAGTCCACGGCGTCGATCGGGTGTCAGCCCGCCAGCTTGGTTATAACAGTCCGATACGCTAACCATTACACCATCGCCGCCGCTACCTTTCTCAAGTCGAGAAAAAAACGTGTGCCTCATCAGACTTTGCAAGAATTAACTAGGAAATACCTTTGCTTTGTCTGGTGCCAAGTAGTCGTGCCTGAAAGCCAAAGCTGTTTGACGGCACCGAAACCAAATAATCGGTGTTCCTAACCCGCATTGCCGTGTAAACGACAGGTTCGTACTCTCTCTTCCGAGGAGTGTTTATTTCCCCCATCCATCAATTCGGCTTCGTTGCGGTCGGCTTTTTTCGCCGCCTCTTGCGTTGTTTGGAATGCTCCTCAGAAGATCCGCCGGCCGGTGCGGTGGCGCGAGAGGAGAAAGAGCCTGAGCCGCGGTGTCTCGCCGGGGAATCCCCTTCCGATTTTTCCGCGTGCCCCAGGCGGCCGGTCGTCCGCACCGCAAGCGGCGCTCTTCAAATAGAACTCTTTCGCGGAGTTTGCGGTATACAGGATAGCTCAAAAGAGAGCGGCCTTCGTCGTCGCCTTGAGTTTCCTGTTGAGACTGAAAATTGAGTTACAGGAATTGCCGCAATAAGGGTTTGGCACTTAATGATTAAAAATGCTTTAGACTGCTCTCCAACCGGCCCAGAAAATGTTCGTACTGCAAGTACTTAAGAGGTCTCCTCTAGGCTACTGTACGTTGTCAAGAAACAACAACTCTTGTGGTTAAGGGATAAATGAGGCAGATGTTTGGAACTATCTTATGAAATAAAGTTGGCTACCTCTTCCCCAGAGCCGCAATTTTCAGAGACATGAAACAAAGGAAAATGTATTAGATTCACAATTAACGCCAGCGATTATAATGAATTGCGCCACGTAGCCTCGTTGTGGAGCATAGATACGGAGTTGGATGCTTACGGCTGCTCCCCTTAAAGGTGGATGCACATTTTCCTGGGTCTCTTATACACAAAAAAGAGAACGGTCGTTCACTCGATAAGCTTGTCCGATATTCTGCATCACGTGAAAGTCATTTCCTATGTCATAGGGCATGCGTGTGGCTTTAAGAGCGTAGTGTTAGTTTAAGAGCGTAGCGATGTGTTTTAAGACTTGTGCTAGTTAAAACATCTAAGCTAACTAATCGATACGTTGGAGAGGATACTTCTAGAGGAGCACCACATAGACGAAAGGAGACTGTCACTCAGGGCGATCGCGTGTTCACGGAGTGCACTATGCCCAATACCCCAAGACTTCTGGGAAGACTGGATTCGTAGAGAGCGGCCGTCAGCGTACATTCCACGTGACACCTTTGTCCCATTTCTCAGTCGTAAGGGCGAAGAATATCTATCTTATTTTCGTATTCCTTATAATCGGGTAATGTACACGAGAGGATTAATATAGTCATTACAAAACGTTCTTCTTTTCGGCAGTTCCGTCAGCAGGATATTCAGAACAATCCCTTTGAGCGTGCTGACGTTAACCCTACTTGAGTGGTAACAAACATCGCGATTTCAGTTCCACGGTGCGTTAGCTCACAAGGAGGAAATGGGAAGTATGAAAAGTAAGGAAAATGGCTCCAGCCGTGGGCATTTTCCGTACGAAGATGCTCTGAATATACCTTGTTGTGCAACCCTGCTTGTGGCTCATACAACGAGAGTGTGGCTCGAGCTTGTGGCTCGAACGAGATTTCTGGTCCCTACTGAGCCATCTTTTGCATTAAACTTTTTTAATTCACAAATACGTCTACGAATCTACGGATACTTACAGGAAAATAAATAAAACGCACTACAAGATGAATAAAATTATAATTTAAAAGATGCAATTGATTCTTTGTCCAACTACTTACAGGGTTGCAAAATAGTTTTGGAGAGACTGTTCCCCAAATATCGTACCTCAATTGCCATGTCAACGAAAAAGGGGAGTAAAAGGGAATTAATCAAATTTTTGAAAATATTTTTTAGTACATAAAACTACAGGGCCCATTTTAAAATTGTAAGGGGACCATGGACCCCCTTTACGCATGCCTTTTCTTATACGTCATTTGACCTAAGTTTACAGAAGAGTTTCATCAGTATCCGAGCCTTCCCCAGCCGCAACTCGCAGATTGTGCGGCCGTCTGGCTGTGCGTATTCACAGTTTCGTGGAACATAGGAACTCCAGTGTCTAAAGTCAAGCACATGCAATATCAAGCATCTGCTTAATAGGGAGTTTTTGCACGACGAATTGTTACAGCAATCGACGGCAATTATCGATCTTCAGCGCATGCGCAGTTCGAATTTCGCATCACTTTCGTGCATCTGCACATGTGCAGAAGATCGACATTGCAGTGAATCGAGATTGTTACGATACGTAGTTAACAGTACTCCCTAGTGTTCTCTATAGATCGACCCACGTTATAGATTTACCCATACGTCCATTAACACCAGTTTCACTATGTCAAATGTTCTTGGAATGCGTTATACTCCCACTCGTATGACGTCAAGCCTACGGAAGTTTCGTAACCGTAACGATAGTCACCGACCATTACTTTAAAGCGAAATTTAATAAATATATTTTTTTATTTGAATGTTCCGGCCACATTGGTAAGGGATTAAACAGATTATCATTGAAAACCCGAATATTTCGCGAGTTCAAAGCTGGCTGAAGGGGGTGGAATTTTTCGAAAGGCGATTAGCCTCAGCATCTCACATCACTCTAGTTGTTTTTTTTTAAAGAACCCTGGGTTAAAATGTCTGTAAAAGTTAAATCTCAATTATAAAAAGCACTTCTTTACTCAGGAAACAAGCAGCGTTATAGCCGATGATTGCCAAGAGAAGAAGTACGGGACACCGTGACATTTAAAAAAAGTCTAATGAGAAACATTCATCGTAAGGAAACAAAATTGTGAAAAATATATTGCTATTAGATAAAATTGAATAATAAAATAAATGATTTCATTATTTGATACACGACAAAAAGAGCAGTTGCAGTATACCAGATACATGATTCTGTAACAAGTTCCCTTGTTACAGTATCATGGATCTGGAATGCTGCGACTGTTCTTTCAATTTCCAAACTAAGAACTCAGCTTCATTTTACCAAAAGAATTTAGTGCCTTTATTTGGCTTAATTTGCGTCTTTAATAAGCGACGGGGATTAGACAAAAATTTATACTTAAAAATAATTTTACAGTGTGTAATTCTTTCTTAATTATTAAATTTATTTGCATTCGTGTTTTATTACGTATATGTTTCCAGAAAAGTATGCATATTTCATCAGTCTTTCCAGATTCTGTTCTGCTTTACAAGAAGTTTATAACCGCACGAAATCTTGATTGCCATAAAGCGGTCAACACCACATAACAGTCTGTTTTTGAGTTTGTTTTTTCTAAAAGGCAACGCTCTCACAAGGACGACGGGCACTGCAAGGTCAATGGAGTTGCGTTGAACATAGCTTGGAGCCACATCTCGGTTTTTGTTTCACTTTGTTTCTGTTTTTTTCCCAGATGACTTCTCAAGAAATGCGGAACTCTTCACTTCCTTTGTTCACTCCCTTTGCCATCTCGTCTCGTGACCCTACCATCTCTTTAAGACAAACAAAAACAGACCACGAGTGCTACCTATGTAGTAGAAATTTGTCCCAAAATGATATCAAATATCTGTTCTTACTCTGAACTAAATATCGGAATCCCCTTTCTCGGGAGTAGACAAGTGTAAATAACAATGTACAATTTAGGATAAATGCACCAGCACAGTTAAGAACATTTTCGTAGTTTTTTTGGGGGTTATGTAGGAAATGTGGTATGTAAAGCTCAGTTGGGCGGTTAACATACCACTTTATGAATATGTCCCTTGCCTAAAATAGTCAATTGTTTAATTTTTTTATTTTTTAGTTAATTATTTTCAAATACCGATTTTATTACAGTAGTGGCCACTTCAATGTTTTAAAATTTAAGTAGTGTTCAGATGCTGGGCTTATTGTGTCTCAGGTCTTCAAGATATCTTTGAGACCGACAGAAACAACGGGAGCTTACCACGTAGTAGAAATATGTACTAAAATGATATCGTAAGAGACATTGTATTCTGTTCTTACTCTAGACAAAATATCGGGGGTCCCGTTTTTCGAAACTACTCAAGCTTAAAATAACACTCTTCAATGTAATACATTAAATGTACTACCAGTGCTTAAAGTTACAAACATTTGTGCAGTTTGCTTAAAATTCTTGCTCTTCAGTATTAAATTTGTCATGTAAAACTGAATGTGCGATTCAGTTTCTAAATAGATCCCTTGCATAATAGCGGCTAATTCGTGCAAGTGGCCTGTTTTATTTTTTATTAATTTATTCCTAAACACCGGTTTTATTTTAGTAGTAACCACTTGAAAATGGCAATATTTAGTACTCAATAATTGCCAATCGATATTCTTCCTCGTGAACGGGCTTGAGACCAAAACAGTATCGGTTCATGCCACATTGTTACTATGCTAATAATAACGATAATGATAATATAAATAATAATAATAATATTAATTATGTTAATAATAAATAATAATAAATAATACTATTAAATAATAATAATTTCAGTTTTTTAAATAAAAAATAAAGAAATTATTTTCGTTCTAATGTTAGCCACTTGAAGGCACAAGCTCCAAGTTCTTCAAATCTTAAGCAAGTAGCAAGAGTTCAATTCTGTTTCCATCTTGTGTTATTGATGTGAACAGTAGTGGTGTTGCCCTACTAATTGTTTCATTAGTAAATGCAGAGCAGCAGCGAAGAGTTATTTCAAGAACTTCATGAATTTCAAGTTGTAGTTTTTGTAACACGCTGTAGTTGTTGCTGTCGGAACACTTCCGAATCATCTTCTTTTCTCTTCCATTTTCCATAATACTTACGCGCCCATTCCCAGCAAAAATATTCTCGACATGTACTCCAGTGGGAACTTCAGTAGGAAGAAATATTGACCCATTTGAATGTAAGTCCTCGGAATTGCTTTGTGTGTATAAGGACAACTCCATGTCTGACCTAAGTATTCCTCCACACGAATGAGGGTGAGAGAATGTAATTATAAGCAACCTCTCCTTACAAGGAATTTTTTTTTAAATGGAAGACTTTCTCAGAAACTTTTGTAACATGGGAAGAGCTTCATGTAAAGTAAAATTCCTTTAAATTGCCAGAGACACAAGTTGAGACAAGTGAAATGGAGTATATTTATTTTGGAAAAAATACTATGGACAGTTTTGACAC